TCAATTTCTCCGTATTATTGCTTACCTGGACTATAACAAATCAGCTAAGATTGATGCGCTTGTCACGGGCATATCAGAGGACCTAAAAGACTCCTTAGTTTATCATGAAGGCGAGCCAAATACCCTGGAAAAATATGCAACAATGCTTATGAAAACTGACAATAAAATTCGTGGCCGGAAAGCAGAGCAAAAATACGCACGGAATTCAAGTACTCAGCCTTCATATCCTACCAATGGTCACCCTTCACATGTCCCAGGCGGCCTCACTCCCATGGACCTTTCAGCTCTCCGAAGTCAGCCTGTTGCGCGTCCACCTTTGGACCAACGTTACACCTTCGTAAATGGAATGCGAAAGACATCAGCAGCTGAAAAACATTGGCGCAAGGACAATAACCTATGCATGTATTGTGCAGGATCTGGACATGTATTCAGTAACTGCCCTGTTGCGAATCGTACAAGAAACTCGCAAGTAACAATGACAGGTGCTCTTTTGGCGCCGATATTACCTAATGAAAATATAGAGTCACCATCCCTCAATGGACAGGAGCTGGGTATTCATTAGTCCCGAATTCGAAAGATGGCCCTAATCCGGGGCCCACTGATACTTCCTTAATGTCTGCATTTTCCATATCGAGCTTTTCAGTGTCACATGCGGAGGACAAGTTAGATGGTGAACATTTAGTTGCTGCCTGTACATTAGTAACATCTAAAAAATCCATTCAAACTCACGCACTTATTGATACCGGATGCTCTGGTTTTGCTTTCATTGACGAAAATTTCGCGCGCTGTCACCAATTCTCATTTATTGCCTTAAAAACCCCTCGCACACTCAAAGTAATTGACGGAAGACCCATATCTTCGGGTAATGTTACTCACGTTTGTCGTTTACCACTAACAATTGATTCTCACCACGAAACCGCTAACTTCTTTATCACCAAGCTAGGCTCGTATCCCCTAGTGCTTGGAATCCCATGGCTTCAGCAACACGACCCCGTGCTACAGTTTAAATATAACACAATACTTTTCAATTCCAACTACTGCAAGCAGAAATGTAACAGCTTCGTAGTCCCTATCCCAGTCAAGGGGATTAGCCTAAAAACTCTATGTAAACATGATAGCCCCAAGGCAACCTTCGAATGCAAACACAAAAACAAAATTCTAATTCAGGGCATGAAGTTTAAAGCAGCCGATAAAACAGTTGAGTTAGCAGCTTCAAAGAATTGGAAAACTATGTTACCACCACAATATCATAAATTCCGTGGAATGATAGACGAAAGGCTTGCAGACTCACTCCCACCACGCCGTATATATGACCACAAAATCCCTGTAAAAGAGGGGAAAGAGCCTCCATTCGGACCTCTTTATGGCATGTCCCAGGAAGAGTTGATGGCATTGAAGACTTATATCCAGGAAAATCTTAAAAAAGGGTTCATTCGAGCTAGTTCTTCACCGGCTGGCGCTCCTGTTCTTTTTGTTAAAAAAAATGACGGGACACTTCGTCTTTGTGTTGACTACCGAGGGCTGAATGAACTCACAATCAAAAATCGGTATCCACTCCCACTAATAAGGGAAACACTTGACCGGCTCTCTAGGGCAAAGTGGTATACAAAATTAGATCTTAGGCAAGGTTACAACCAGATAAGAATGGCCGAGGGAGAGGAGTGGAAAACTGCTTTCCGTACTAGATATGGAAATTTTGAGTATACAGTTATGCCTTTTGGATTAACCAATGCCCCTGCAACCTTCCAGCACTTTATTAACGACTGCCTTCGTGAATATTTAGACGTATTTTGTACAGCATACCTAGACAATATACTCATATATAGCGATACCCTAGACGAGCATATAACGCATGTCAATAAAGTGATGGAAGCTTTGCAGCAAAAAGGAGTCCTCCTAAAGCCAGAAAAGTGCAAATTTCATTCTCAAAGCACAACATATCTAGGCCTGATCATCGAGCCGGAGGGCATCAAAATGGACCCAAGTAAGGTAGATGCCGTAAGAAAATGGGAAGTTCCAAAATCAGTAAAAGACATTCAGGCGTTCCTAGGGTTTGCCAATTTCTATCGACGTTTTGTCCACGGATTTTCAACATTGGCACTCCCACTGACCCGCCTTACGCGTAAAAATACCCCCTTTGTCTGGGATGCTGAGACGGAAGGTGCATTTAAAGCCTTGATAAACGCCTTTACCACAGCACCTGTCTTAGCCCACTTTGACCCGGAAAGGGAAATCACAGTTGAGACAGATGCTTCTGACTATGTCTCTGCGGGAATTCTCTCTCAACGCGATGATAAAGGTATCCTTCGTCCGATAGCTTATTTGTCGAAAAAACATTCACCGGCTGAATGTAATTATGAGATTTATGCCAAAGAACTTCTGGCAATAATCCGTTCGTTCGAGGAATGGCGACCAGAGCTTGAGGGTGCTGCTCATCAAATTGCGGTAATATCGGATCATAAAAATTTGGAATACTTTATGAGCTCTAAGCAACTTAATCGTAGACAAGCACGTTGGGCCGAATATCTCTCATGCTTCAATTTCATTATTAAATACCGACCTGGAAATCGAGGAGGAAAACCAGATACACTTACTAGAAGATCACAGGATTACCCTGCGGAGAACGATGAAAGAAGGCTCCACCAGAGTCAAATTGTTCTCAAAAAAGAAAATTTGGAGAAATAGTTAGATGTTTCCGCAATCTCATTGACACTCACTGCGCAGAAAAATTCTCCAGAATGGAAAGATTTGTTTGAGATAGGATACCAAAACGATCCGTTCCCGAATAAAATATTAGGTCTACTGAGGAATAACATTAAGCACTCGAAGGAAATATTGTTTGCTGAATGTACTCAGTTTGAAAATAAACTAGTCTACAGGAATAAGTGGTACGTGCCACACTACGACCCAATCAAACTTCACATTCTCAAACGCTACCACGACGATCCCTCTGCTGGGCACCCCGGTCGCGAAAAAACCTTTGAACTTATCAGCCGGGACTACCACTGGCTATTGATGCGAAAATACATAGCGCGTTATGTTCGTAATTGCCATATTTGCCAAAGAAGTAAGCCCAGTAACCACACAAAATTTGGAATCCTTCGACCACTACCCATAGCTCAACAACCATGGCAAGAAGTGTCTATGGACTTTGTTACTGGATTACCCGTAAGTGATGGATTTGACGCAGTTATGGTAGTAGTCGATAGACTGACGAAAATGCGTCATTTAATACCCTGCAATACCACAACCAGTGCTCAAGATGTCGCCCGACTATACCTGTGTAATATTTGGAAACTTCACGGTCTACCAACGCTTGTTGCTTCGGATCGCGGGACCCAATTTACAGCCAAATTCTGGAGAGAACTATGCAAGCATTTATGTATTAAGGCAAGAATGTCCACTGCCTTCCACCCAGAAACCGATGGCCAAACCGAAAGATTTAACGCTGTAATGGAACAGTACCTAAGGTGTTACGTATCATACCAGCAAGACAATTGGGCCAAGTGGCTACCAATGGCAGAATTTTCCGCAAATAACCACGTGTCTGCCTCCACTAAGGCAACACCATTTATGAGCAACTACGGGTTTCATCCTCGCTTTACAATTACCATGAAACCCTACCCAAAAACGCCACAAAGCCACGATGCCAAAGAATTTGCCCTTCAAATGAAAGACATACATGATTTCCTGCGAACTAACATCAGATCAGCACAAGACTTACAGGAGCAAGCCGCAAACAAGACGAGAAAACATGCACCCAATCACCAGGTTGGTGACTACGTATTTCTCTCTGCAAAAAATGAAAGGACCATGCAGAATTCCCGAAAGCTCGACTGGAAAAAACTTGGCCCCTTTCAGGTTAATAAAATAATATCCCCGTATGCATATCGCTTAGATCTCCCAAAATCAATGAAAATACACCCAGTTTTTCATGTCTCCCTATTGGAACCCGCTCCACATGATCCCGTTCCTGGTCAGTTCCACCCACCTCCTCCACCAATAATTGTCAACGAAGAAGAGGAGTTTGAGGTTGAAGAGGTTTATGACTCGCGGACTACAAAGTGTAATGGATTACAATATCTAGTCAAATGGGTAGGCGAAAACAATCCGACTTGGGAACCAGCCATTAACCTTGACAACACCACTGCTGTTGGAACCTTTCACCAGCGCTATCCCACTAAACCTGGCCCACTAAAAAATAGCTCAAATAACCAGGCTCGCAGGAGCTCACGTCTTAAAGGGGGATCTACTTTCATGGATAAACGTGGCGGAAACTAGGATGGTGTCTCATGAGGAGTTCCATTCTAAAACACAACTCGGGGTTAGATCAAGTTCTCAAACAATTAGGACAGGCTCAGGAACATAGGGTCGTTTCATAGGGATTGCGTAGTAATACTGTTCGAGACAGAGCTTAGGGCTGTCCTATTATCTGATGTACATATATACCCAGCGTGAAGGAGTATTCTTCTTCACGCAACGTCTTCTGTTTATACTCATACCTATTGTTCACTTACTTATCTCTTCTCTAAAGAAGACCGCCGTTATTGTACCCTTCTCACCTACTACTTATTTTACCTTTACTTCTTATGTGAACCCTATACCTAACGCTGAATTTACACCTCCTACTCTTCGGAATCACCACCATACTCCACACCTGTAACCTACTTGTACCAAATTCGTACCCTACGGAATACTAATAACACTGCTCCTTGAGAGGCTCCATGATGAGTAGAGGAACAATGGAGCACTGTATAGAAAGTGTTTCTAGATTGTACTGCCAGATGGAGGAGACTAGAATATTCCGTGATACTATTTTGGGTAAATGAGGCGAGAGTCTAGCTACCTCCTAAATCCTCATAGTTCTGAATATCAAATATATCAGCAGTTCACATTGATTCATCAATAATCATCCGTAAACCTTCTCCCAATTAACCTCTGTAATCTCTTACCTTTACAACATCTACCCCAAGAAGTCACAACTGCTCACAGGTACAAACTCTCAAGCAACGCAAACCCCACCAACAACAACCTGTAAGCTACTAGATACAATAGGCTGCAGCCCAAGAGTCTCATACCTCACTCTAGGTTATCATAATGGAGAGTATGAACAGCGTGAGCCAAGCTATCCACCAGCTCTTGAAGGACAACAACCTGATCCGCAGCCAAGACCATTCCGATCCCGTACTAGCTCAGTTTACCCTTCTGTGCCTCGTGATGAGGAGCCACCAGTCTTCCAAGATTTTCGGAATGACCCTTGTACTGATTTCCCCAGCAACAAGCCAAACGAGAAACTTGAACCATCAGCAGTCATCAAATTTTCTAAACATTGGATCAAGAAAAGCAATTCTTATGGCTTAATACATGACTTGTTCGATGGTAAGGTACATCAGTTCCTAAGAACACTTGAATCGCTCGAGATATGTCTACCGCAATTGCATGTATTCTTTGATCAAATGCACAAGGACCGAGCATTGTTCTACCACACTCGAATAAATAAGAACCCTGATAAGGGCCTGAGGAGCGTCCTTAATATACTGGTCGACAAGCTAAGTATCTGCTAGAGGGCAATGGGAACTTCATGCCAAGATGACAACAAACTCCGTAACCAGCTAATGCACACCTGGAGACACACCATTGGACTTACGCCGGCTATCAATAAGGCGATAGATAACCTAGAAGAACTAATAGCAAGTCTACAATTATCAATCATAATTCAGGTACTTGCATCTCAGTTTGTTGTGGACAGATCCCTAGCACCGTTTTCGAAGCAGTACTATCTTGAGAGACATAACAAGAACTCTTACTGTCGAGGAAAGGACCAGAGCAATAATGGCGATAGATCTGAACTACAGAAGAAACATCAACTGTGGAAAAAGGAGTGCTATATCTGCAGAAAACATGACTGTAGGTAAACTAGGCAGACTGAACTCGAACAGCGTCAAATTAGGAAGCAAATTATCACACAATGTGAAGTCGATGGCACCAAACCTACCACCCATAGTATTTCAGTCTTTCTAGTTCACTTTGAGGGATAGAAGCTTGCTAGCCAATATTCCATGGGAGGCCAAATGTGAAGTTATCATAGTTATAATTACCAAGATGAGCACTTTCAACTTGACCAAAGAGAAACAACTCACATTTGGTATTGTGGCACTTTGCTAGCCATACAGGCAAAAACATTTCACAAGAATCCCATGGATTAATGGTGGGGACAGTCCCGCAGACTCCATTACAAAGTGTCAAACTCGAGGGTACCAGGGGTTGTGTTTGATGGATAACTTGGAAGTGCGAGTGATATCTGACAAGATTTGTCATAGACTAAGGTATTAATTCGGGATTCTAGCTATAACTGAGGACAAGGGACAAGAGAAACTAGGATAAGAGACAAGGTCAATGGAAGACGGAAAACAAGACGTGGCCCTCTACATCGGCTCTACCCAACCCATATATACATCATAGTAACCAGAACAACTAAGGCTTCAAGGGGTGCACCTGCTGCTATTCTATTACTTCATTTGTAACCCATAGCAACCATTGTAACCCGGTAAACGCTCTAAGATGAGAGAATATTCAGATGTAGTGTAGGGAAAGAATATGAGGGTGCTGCTCTATCCTTAGTTCCTGACACAAAGGTTACGCCAACCAAAGCATTGAAAAGCTTCATCAACTTCAATGACCTTTCGATTCATGTGGAAGGTTTTGTGCAGAGGTGATGTGAAGGGGATGAGGGTCCATAATTTTACATTTCTATTGTCTGTTCTTTTGTCATCATATTTGTTTGAAGTTTTATCTTGTACATGAGGAGTATGAGAAGATCATGTATACATTTACATCTAATTTGAGTCTACAACTATTGAATAAGATCATGTTTAGATTGTCATCAAAAACAGAAAAGTTGCCATTGTCAGTTTATCTTAAACATAAAAGTTGATTTGTCATCATGTGATCCCCACATGATGACCTCAGCACAGATGCCCTAGTCAGAATCCAAAGTAGAGCTGTGAATCCTGTATAGCATAGACAAGACAATTATTAACATTTATGTTAAAATTATGGAGTTCAGAGATAAGTCAGGTGATGCTTAATGGAAGTAATTGATGAAGGGTTTGGTTGAGTTTTCTATTATTTCTGTGTTGGGATACACTTTGTTGATCCTACTAGGCTCAATAATTAGTAGTCCCAATTGACTGGTGTTTGGCAAACAGAGATTGCGTATACCCTGTGCTAGTGTTGTTAACTGCTGTTAATAGGAGATCCCACACGGGCTATATATTGGGGTTAAAAGGAGTCTGGTACCTGTGTTTAGGAGAGAAGTCTAATTAATATCCTTTTATCCTTCATTATTGCATAAGCTTTGTGACGGCTGGTTCTTGTTGCCTATGTTGGCTAACATAGGCTTGGTCCGATTTAGGGTGCGCACGATCGATCGATCTAATATCAGAGCATCGGAATCTGCATAGCATCCGATTCAACAGTGCAGCTCAACATGGCACCAATTGTCGGTGAGAAGCTATTGGCTGGTAATATACAAGATCGGACACAACCTCCTCAATTGATAGTGCAATGACGTCGTAGAACATGAGGCTCTTTTGTATGTATACATGTGTAGATAGATCTTGTAGTAGTTCTCTCCTTAGAATTATTATCTACTTCCATCAACCACATAGTTGCTCCAGCACCTGTCCTAGAATCCGTGACAAGCTTCCCTTTACCAATAAGTCCACAAACTTAGTAGTGGGTTATACATTTCAATAATTAAGACCAACACAGAATCGCACAACTCTTTGTTGAAATGTGATATATCTTGGAATGCCAAGAATAACTTATTAGTAAGTCCGGCTAATTTGACTATCAAATTTCCCATTCTATATCACTGTTATCAATACATCATTCACCGAAAGTTTAATGCGCATTAGTGTTTATTTCACACTAGCATTCCAGCGGATGACTATGTCTCAAATGCAGGTTATAGTTTTCTCGTATCTATTACCGACACACATGTATTTAGCTTTATATTCCTGACCCATATATGTGTATGTACATAGATCTACATCTACACGGATCATAACTTACGATCCATGGAGATTGATAAATACTGGTCAAAAACCACAGTTGATAAGAAATGCGAACACGCAATCTCACTCTTATTATCTCGGTTTTACTCTGAACCATACATCTAAATACAATTGTTTCCACTCGGATCTTCCTCTCACAGCCTCATACGAGACTTACTGCATTGGTCTAACCGCCGACACTGATTCCGCTACAACCTCCATTGTTTCTCAAGCTCATAACTTTAACAATCTTTACTGAATCACTACAATCTATCGTGAAACCACCCTGTAGTAATTCTAACAGATTGAGGAATAAAATTTGTCAAATTTGATATAAATACTTTGAGGATAATTGTTTTCACTGATGCGTCTTTTGCTAACAATAAAGACTTAACATCTCAATTTGGCTACGTGATAATATTAGCAGACGATAACAGTGATGCTAATATCATTCACTGGTCCTCGGTCAAATACAAACGTATAACCCGTAGTGTTCTTACCTCTGAACTCTACGGGATGGAGCTAGGATTTGACACTAGCTCTGCTATCAAAACTATCCTCAGTAAAATCCTAAAGAGATCAATCCCTCTGATTATTTCACTGACTCAAAATCCCTCTTCAACTGTCTAGTAAGACTAGGCACAACCCGAGAAAAAAGACTAATGATTGACATTATGTCTCTCAGGCAATTGTACAAACAATGCAAGATTGTGGAAATAAAATGGATTGAAGATAGCACTAACCCTGCTGACGCAATGACGAAATCGAACGCTTGTTCAGCACCAAAAGATCTCATCAACACTAATAAAATACATATAAGAGTCACAGAGTGGGTTGACCGAAAATGAAGCTACAATTTTAATAAGAATTTGAAGAGTTGCCAGTGTTGGTACATGTTGGAGTTTGGAGTCTTTGATCATATAATGTAATGTTTACATTATTATAAATACTTAATATAACTACTTTCATATAATAGATAGAGAAATAACCCAATTGCAACACAATCATTGACAGTGCTGTATTTGGAACCCCGGTGATGTCACAGACTGACTGATGTGGTAATGGTGTCCTGCCAACCTGTCACGGTTCGAGGTATAGATGCTGGGGCGATCAAATATACGAAGGTTGTTTATTATTTTCTCTATGGCTATCTATGTACGTCCAACTTCAACTATTTATTCGCTTACTATTCTATCTAGAATATTCTTGACTAATACCAGTTTCTAGTATTTTCCCCTGAGGCTGGTTCGCAGTCTTACTACTAGTTGCTAGAAATTTCTAGTGATGTCCAGATTAATCTATGATAGAATAGTGGTTTCGTAAAGTTGTGAAGCACGTGATTAACATCATGTGCCACAGGGTAATTACCAGCTCACTAGCCGTTACACAACCTCTGGCTCTAAGACTATGTGGCTACTGCTATTTCATGGATAGATTCATGGTGTTGAGATAGAGTCTGATCCTAGCTTCAGCTGGTATCCCTCTAGATAGGTTCTGTTGTGATCTAACGCTGTTCAAATCTGCGGACTTCGTGGTGAGCAGTTATACTACCTCACGTGATAGAACATGGGAGTGAAGTAAAAGAGTGGTCAACCCACTAGCCAGATCTAAGCGATTACTGGCACACATAGAACTGTAACACATTCTTTGTAGATAGTACAATAACATAATTATCATCAGTGATTAAATTAATCCCCACACAATTGAGACCCATTGAAGTGCCAACTTTCATACCACCCTCAACTGTATTGTCGCAATCGCATCCATAACAAGCCACCATTGCAACTCAGAGCATACTCTCAAACTGTGATCAACTACACCACCAGGTTTAGCATAAATCGCAATAGGTTCTAGTTACATCAATGGCATTCTAAGCTATTCTAGCAATTAGTTTCTAGATGTTTCGGGATGGTATTTTGTACTCTTACCAATTCAATGGGCTTCGATCAGATTCTAGGTCACTCTCAGTAGTTTGACAGGAATCGGGCTGGAACTAGATTACTGTATTCTGTAGCAGATATTGTCGTAGTATAAGTAGCTGAGGTATGTTATGCTGGCTCGATTCAGTTGTTAGGAGACAGGGGAACGAAGGATGGGCTGCTGGATTAGGAAAGGGTGGAAAATACAGGCTGGTGCATAGATGCTGTTCATGTACTCTACAATCTCTTCACCTGCCAAGTTTAGTGAATCAATCTATCCATATAATATCATACTTCACATCATCCATTAGATGATATTATCAATTGTCGGGATGCAAATCTAGCATCACCTTCATAGATCACCATTGCCAGTAAGAGTTCACATTTGATACCTACTGACACCCATTTGGCCACAGTGATACGCACTCAGTGTCCATCGTGCCATCACCCAGCGTGAGCGCGCCATCTCCGCAACTCACCATTGCACATGAGCCCGTGTAAATCCACCGACAGACAGCAGAGGCATAATTGCTATATATCTCACAGCTCATAACCACAACAAGGTATCTTCATGTCGAAAGCTCTCCAGCTTTCAGTCTTGTATTATTCCCTAGATATCCAAGAATCAAGAACCAAGTCTTTATTGTTATGTTAGACTCTTAAAGTCGATTGAAAAATTTATGAAGTAAAAGTAAAAAGTGTCAATTAATTCCTGGCTGCCATTTCTCTTACTGATACTATCTAGATTATGTACGTCTAGAAAATGGCAAATGTTCTATGTGTCCCCAACTTGTCCCCATAGACCAAGCTTCTCATGGTTTGGAACGAAACATCTCTAGTCAGAACAGATAGAGTTCTTATTGCTACAGCCCAAGCGAAACACCTTTTTTCGAAACAAGTAACTCCAAGCTTTGTAAACCTAACTCCTTAAACTTTATA